CCCCAGCCAGCATGGCTGGCTGGGGAATTCTGAGAGTTGAAGTCCACACATCTTAAAGTTCTCAAGGCTGAGAAAACTAAGATGCTTAAATGGTTAATTTGCAGACAGGTTCCCCAAAAGGGGTAAAAATCACACAATTCAAGCTCAAGGTCCCACACTTGCACTGATCCCTCCAGGGGTGAGCAGCGTAGAGGCCTTGCTGAACTACAACTCCCAAGAGCCTTCACTGCTCACCCAAGGCTGCTGGGAACTGGAGTCCAACAACATCTGGAGGGCTGCAGGTTGTGTAATTCTGGTTCCCACCCATGGCCCCTCTATTTAACAAAGCAATTCCCTCTTTTTCTTCCCGGGTGATCCCAGTAGCGGATTAGTATTGCAGTAAAAGCATTGGACTCCTTAAGACTTGGATCAACAGCGGTGCACATCTGGGTGGTTTTTTTTTCCAGCCCAGATAGGGTAAGCTGTAATTAATCTTTAGGACGGATTAAACAGGCATGAGACCAAGGATGGAAGAGAGATTATGGAGATATCTGGGGAGTTGCCAATGCGTAAAATTGGAGCGCCCGTTGGACGTTCGCCACAGATGTGTGTGAAAGCACCCTCCAGTGGCCAAACCTGGGTGTTTATTCCGGCAAGGGAGAAGACCAAGGTTGTCTTCAGGAACGTCCCAGCTCCCACCCTCCTTCGGATGACCTGGGTCCCCACCCCCGTTTTTCTTCCAGCCGGATTTCAGCAGGTTTATTTAGAGCCGCTGCTGAAATTCCACATCAGTTTGCGAAAGCTACGACTGCACGAAGCCGAGTATGTCCTGCTGCAGGCCCTAGCGTTGTTCTACCCAGGTGAGACCCCATTCGCAAGGGGGCAGACTCGATCCTGCTCCCCAAATTTGAGGGAGTAGATGATTCCTGCCCTGGTCGAGGGTCAGACTAGATGGCCTCTAAGGTCCTTCCCATCTTTCCGTTCGTGGTTTCCATGCATTGGGTCCCTGCCCCGGCCAGGAGGTCAGACTAGATGGCCTCTAAGACCCTTCCCACCTCTCTGTTCAAGGATTCCATGCATTGGGTCCCTGCCCCGGCCAGGAGGTCAGACTAGATGGCCTCTAAGACCCTTCCCACCTCTCTGTTCAAGGATTCCATGCATTGGGGTCCTGCCCCGGCCAGGAGGTCAGACTAGATGCCCTCTAAGACCCTTCCCACCTTTCCATTCGTGGATTTCATGAATTGGGTTCCTGCCCCGGCCAGGAGGTCAGACTAGATGTCCTCTAAGGCCCTTCCCA